GAAATTACAAATCAAACGAAAATCTTTTTTTAAAAAAAAAACTTAAAGCTAAAAAATATATATATTTATATATATATTTTTTTTTAAAATAAAAATTTAAGCTAATATCAAGTTTTGGTATTTTGTAGGGCCTCCATCAGCAGCAATGCAAGCTGCAATATGATCCAGCATACTATCCACTAATTGGCAGCAAATTTCTGGTGAAACGTCTTGCCAGGCTTGTTTAATGAGAATTTTGAGATCAGTAAGATTACTAAGCTTTGGTTTGTGATACACAGATGTCTTGACTTCATGCCAGAGATTTTCAATGGGGTTCAGATCAGGGCTCTGGGCAGGCCAGTCTAATATCTTAATTTTGTGATCTTCAAAAAATGTAGTGGCGATTTTCGAAACGTGAGGTCTCGCGTTGTTTTGCTGAAATAAAGAACGACCACAATTCGCGTTTCCCAGATATTTTTTTAAGGTGAATATGGCATATTTGCGCAAAATCCCAACATACAAAGCCTCAGTGACATTATTAATTAACAGAACTAGAGGGCCAGTTTCGTGCCAAGAGAAGCAGTCTCAGAATATACAGCTAGGGCTTCGTTTAACGGTACAGCTTAGGCATTCGGCATCCCATTCCTCATGCGGTTCATGTCAAATTCGGAAAAGAACTTGCTGGAAAAGCTGAATAGATGTTTCGTCTGACCAAAGAATACGTCTGAAGTGTTGGGTGGTCCAGTCCCTACAAGTAAGACACCAGGTAAGCCTATTAAATGCATTAATGGTGGAGATTAATAGTTTCGAGTGTGCAATACAAGACCTTAAATTTTCTTTTTTTAGGATATAACAGATAGTGTTTTTTGATACATGGAGTTTGGTTTGAGCAATGAAAGTAGTAGCAACTTGGGCGGCATTTAAACGATGGTTTCTATTAGTTACAAGAGTTTTAAGGACAGAACGGTTGAAAGCAGTAAGGAGTGACAGACGTTCAGGATGTTTTTTTTGCGGTTCAGTGATTCCTGTCTTACGATACTTACCTATAATATTTCCCACAGAAGACTTCTTACAGCCAATATTAGCAGCAATGGCTCGATACGAGTCACCTCTCAGGTAACCATAGATAATGGCTTCTTTTTGTGCAATAGTCAAATCTTTTTCACTACTCATTAAATTAGATTCTTGTTTTTTTAGTCAAAAAAGGGTAAAAACATGATTTTTTTTATATAAAAAAATTCAAAAAAATTATAATACAAATTAACATGTTTTCGTTTATATTTTTATTAAAAAAAAATAAAAAAAAAATAGATAAATAATTAAATAAATAATTATTTAATTACGTACTTATAGTTTCTTGATTTTCAATTTGATAATAATTTGTGTCTTTAAAGTTTTTTATCATAGATTTTGAGTGAATCATTATAATTATTTGAAATTTAAATATAATATGCTTTATAATATATAATTTGATTTTGTTATAATAAAATTAATTTTTTTTTATTAAAAAATTTTTTTATTGTATAATAAAAAGTGTTCACAATAATATGGATACTTTCTGTATTTACTTATTATTTTTTTTAATAGATAAACATCATTTTTTTATTTGATTTGTATATAACAGGATATAAATCATGAAAAAAACAACATTTCTCATATATAAATACAATAAGTTAAATGCTAGCTTGCCTATAGTAACTATATGACTAATATTGAAAAGAAAATTTAAAACAATATATATCTTGTCAAATGGCATTAAGCAGCTATGAATATCTATTTAGTATTAAGAGAATTAAAATTATAGTTAAGGAATAAAGATATTAGACTATAAATATATTTAAAATAGTTATATTCAGATTGAATAAATATATTGGTAATGATAAAAAACAGATCAATAATAATATCTTCTGATGGGTTGGTGTTAAGTATATCTTTGACTTGCAAGATATTCTTATTACTTGATTTAGAAGAATTGGATAAATTGAAAAGTTTGATATGATTTTACTTAATTCTGATAAGCAGTAAAGTGTTAGCTATAGAGTAATATAGTTTTCAAATCAGATTATATAGTAGAATTAGGGATTCTGTTACTACTTTAATTCAGTTAAGATAAAATAGAGAATATTTTGTTTATTATTCCATATAACAGTTCAATAACTTGTTATATATAGTATGTAAAATAAGTTTATGACTATTATCTGGATAGAAAACTTGATTAATAATTTTGATAATTTGATTGACTACTTGTAAAACTTCAGTATATTTGAAAATATGTTGAATATTTTCAATATGAAAATTACACCTCAGATATAAGATATCTGGATACTGGCTAAGATAGAGTTGATTAAATATATGGTAAGTAGGAAGGATTCCTGAAAGTAGTTTAATTCTGAATGTAACTAAGATACTATATTTGTTGTTATGAAGTTTTTTAATATTTTTGTTGGATTAATTAACAACTTCAAGTTATAAGAAGTATGTATTTATCCAAAAGTTTGGATAATAGAAAAACTTTTACAGATTATATAGTCTTTAATAATGCTAAAGATTTTTTTATATTATTTGATACTATTGCCCAGACAAGTATTGTTAATTAAGAGGTTTTTAAGAAAATGTAATAGAGAATTGTTTTATTGGATAGTTTTAATCAATGTTAATTTGGACTTGGATTTTATATATATAATTTCTATAGACTTTTGTTATATATATTGATTTATTCTTTGAATTAGGAAGGAAAAATTGATTTTGACTATTCTTCTTAGATACTTTGATACTAATTAAAGAATTTTCTTATTGCTTTTAATTTCAATAATGAAATAGTGTGGAATCTACTGAATAATATCAAATACTGTCAGTAGAATATTATATATTATATTTACTTTAAAGATTTTTGAATTATTTTAATATAAAAATTTTAAAGTTTTTTTTTTAAAAAAATTTCTTAATATAAAGTTTTTAACTATAAATAAATATTTCAATAAAATAATATTTTTAAATATTATATAAATTTATAATCAAATTATTGTAAAAATAATATTTTTATATTTTTATTTGATTATTTTTATTTTTAGATTTTAATTTAATAAAAAATCTATAAATATAATACTGATTATAAGTAATCAATTTATTTTTAAAAATTCAAATTTAATAAATTGTCTTAAAAATTTTAGAACAAATAATTTATTACAATTTCTGACTATCAGATTTTTTTTTATCAATTTATTTTTTAATCTGAAAAATTTCAATAAATAATTTATAGATCAACAATTCATATAGTTAAAAATTTTTAAAAAATTATATGTTAAAATTTAGGTCTTTTTATATTATTTTGACAAAAAATTTGACATTAAATTTGCTCAATATAAAAAAAAGACTTTCTGAAATACAATTTTTATTAAAAATTAATAAATAATATAATAAAATTGATAAAAACTGTATTTCAGAAAGTCTTTTTTTTTGTATTGAGCAAACTTAAGATTAACTTTTATTGTTTTAATTAAATCATTTGTGTTATATTACAAAAATAATAGAAATATAAATAAATAATACTTTTGAATATATAGTATATAATAAATATTTATAAATAAACACAATATCTTTTAGTTGAGGTGGCACGAACATCTGTCTTTTGAATAATACATAATTCATAAAAATAACTTTTTTTGATTTATAATAAAAAAACAATATTATATACAATTTCACCATATACAATTTTCACCGTTAATTTCAAATTAGTTATCCACTAACTCTATGTAAGTTTCTTTTTTTCTTTTCATTTAATCGGGCATACAAAATTTCTCTATAGATGTAAAATCATAAAAGTAAATTAAGTATTCTATAATAATCCGATTTTTAATGTAATGAAATTCAATATTTATGAACATATAAATTAAAGAATTAACCCATTTGCAATTCAATCACTGACCTCTGTTTTTCCAATTATATAAGTAGAAATTAGAGAACACCCCTTTTATTAACAGCGATTAAACTATTAAAGGATATTCATGTATAGGATTATTAAATTGTAACTTGCCTAAATTAGGATATTCCAATACTTAAGCGCAAATCGTAAAAAAATCATCATTTTGGAGTAATATTCACTACGCCTCCTAGGAAGATAGTGTGGTTAATACCTTTTGGTAAAAGATAAGTTTGTACACGGTTGGTCTGTATAGCTCCTGGCGGAGGCTTGATATGATCATAATAAATAGCCTTATATGGGTTGTATTCACTAGGTGTAAATTGATCAAAATTTTTCTGACTGAACTTTTGCTGGGCAGAAAATTGTTGTAAGACGGGTTGCGTGAGATTTTGCTGTGAATCATATGAACTAAAGTACTGCTGAAAGGTATATGAATTAAAATAATGCAAAGCTGATTGATTTGAATTAAGATATAGAACCTGTTTGTTTGAGCGAAACTGCACATAATGTGGAGCCGATAGCTTTTGATGGGCATTAGGACGTGAGTTAAGATGTCTTATGGAACAATCTGAATTACAAGAAATTTGTCGTGGAATAGCTCCATTATTATTGCTAAGCCTGTTTTCCTCATTTTTTTCTTGAACAAAAGTTGAAGTACTAGTACTTAAATTTAAATTATTCCCAGATATTCCACTTGTAAAAATGTGTGCAATGCCGCTAGATATAACCGTTGACACTGATGATTCAGTACCTTTAAACTTTCGATCCTTCTGCACACCTTTTTTATAATTTTTTGGTAAAAGTTTTGTTTTCTTTCGAACCGGATTTTTTATTGATTTATTATATGTAAGCATTTTGGTCGAACTATCTGACAATAATCTAATATCGTTTTCTTCTTTCCGAGAATGTGATGGCATAAACATTTCATTGTTGCATTCTGTTGAGACCTTTAATATCCAATCTTCGATATTGCTTATTTTACGTGGAGTTAGGCAGCATGAAGTATTGATATCTTGTGAGGTCGGAACGTCTTGCTGAATACAATTAGATAAATCTATATAATTATTGTTCATATTCATGTTAGATATGCATAAAATAGATGTACGCGATAATTTATCAATATATATTTACCACGTGACCTATTAGTATAAATCTAAATTAATTTTATTAACCCATTATATGGGTTGTTACATGGCTTAGAAAGATTTTAATCAAAATTGATTATTATTATTATTTTTATTTTTTTCCAACTAGTAAGGCTTTGCCTAATATACTTTATTTAGTTTATATTTATATTTCTTATTACAAGATTTACTATTTATAAATTATTATTTTTTTTTTTTTTTTTTTTTTTTTAAGATTTAAAAAAAAAAACTCTTTCCCGCAAATCTCAAAATTCCTAAAAATTTCCTTTTTTGGCAATTCTCTAAAAACACTC